TTCTTAACAAACTCCACCACCTTATACACACTAAACATCATTCTCACTCTCTCTCTCTCTCTCTCTCTCTCGCTCTCGCTCACTTTCGTTCTCTTTCATAAACGCGGTACGAGCAACCGATGGGAGCGATCGCGCTTTTGCTTCCGCGATCAGGCCCCGCACCGATCGCACCTTGCACTTCCGCACGGTGGTCCCAATTATCGCGATCAACCGGTGCACGATCCAGATCGCTCGGAGAGAGTCTCTCGCGATTACGTCGAACTTCTTGCAATGATCGCGCGTCTCCGCGCCTAGAACTCGAACGGCGAATTCGTATCCCTTGCGTCGCGATCGGTTACACTTTGCGCTATTATTATTATTATTATTTTCCCAACGGAGTCGGCTCGAGAGTTCTAAGAAAAAAACATTGTCGACTCGAGGGTTTCGAGCACGGATCACCCCTCTCGCGCTTTCCCAAACGCGAGGGGGTCGATCGTAACGAAAACGGATCGCTCCGACTTCTCGCGAGCGATCTCTCCGGAAAGCTGTCGGGTCTATCGGGACCCCGACCTTTCTTTCGCTCCGATTTCTCATTCGCTCCGGACCTGTCTCTCGCTCCTCCTCAACTAGATACGTCTCCTCTAACTATAATCCCTCTCTATTGCGTCTATCTAATCGCATCTCTGCGTGTCTATACAGTTTCGTGAATATGTATTTAAAAGGTTGCATATAGACCCGGAGTAGGTTCGACACGAGTTGCTCGTTACGAGGGACACCTTTTCTTTGTAAAATAAGTACATTATATATATGTGTGTGTTTTTTATCTCTAGTATATATATATATATATATATATATATATATATATATACATATACAATATATATATATATATATATATATATATATACATATATATATATACATATATATATATATATATATATATATATATATATTTATATATATAACGTATAATCCTCGAATAGGCGGTGATAAATAGTAACGACGAAGTAACAATACAATATTGCTCGATCCCGTATCATATAATATATATATATATATATTCAATATTTATAATAATAATAATAATAATAATAATATAACGATATTATCCACTCGCGAGTAAAGCAGCCTTTCTCTAGCACCCGTGTCCTTTCTCTCCCTCTCTCTCTCTCTCTCTCTTGCTGTCTCTCTCACGCCCTCGCACACTTTCTCTCTCTCTTTCTCTCAAATCGCATTTTTGCCTATTAAAGAGCTACTTAAGAAAAGGGCTCACCGCGCTCGTTCCGTTCATGTATGCATCGTGTTTTGTTTGTATGTATGTCGTCTCATATACATGTGCCGCACTCCATATGTATATATATATATATATTTATGTATATATTTATAACTATTTATAATCGTCTCTGCGTATTCCCTTCTTTCCTCGAAAGTAAACGATTACGGTAGGCCTAACGATCTCGAATCGCACGCATATTCTCTCTCTCTCTCTCTCTCTCTCTATTTCGTATTCTCTCCCTTTCACGCTCTCCCATTCGCTCGTTCGCTCTGTTCTCTTAGCACGTTCGTCCGGCGAAGCGTCCAAGGGCTGCACAAGCGATCCACGATTTTTCATAAGCCGCTCAGCTATCGTACACATCGAGGAAAAAGCAAATCGAACAAGCGAAATCGAATAGGGTCGCGCGCGGGTGTCCGACACGCTTCTGCCGCGTTGCTCGCGCGACTCGAGCGATCGACCCTCTTCGAGGGTAGTGTGTTTCTCCGGTCCGACGAGCTCCCGCGGAACGACGATCACAGATAAAAAGTCTGACGGACGTCGAGCGAGACGCTTTCGATTCGGGGAGGTCGCTTCCGGCGGCTCGGAAATGCCTGCGAGATATTTTACCAATTCTTTTTTGTTTGTTACAGCGATACGGAGCGCGCCTCGAACTTTTGCTTAAAAAAATCATTAAATTATTTTTTCATCGAATATTTCAAGACGTTGCCAATATCTGTTACGGAAAGTATTCCGACAAGATTCGACTGCGAACAACAGAAGAGAACGAACGACGTCCGAAGAACTTCGGAGAGAATTTCAGAGACTTTATTTACCCGTTTCAATAATTCAGAGAATAAATCCTACCGTCAGCCTCCCTTTCGAAGAGACTCGTCTCGACGGTGTACGAACGCTTCCTTGTGCTATAGTTTAATAGTCTACGTCTCTACGCCATAGTTTCCCAAAACACCGAAACACCCACCCCGTACGTATCGAAATCGAGACGCTAATCGCTAAACGGTGCGTCCTCTGTGCGTCCGCATACAAAAATCGCATGAAAATCGATCATCACTCCCTCTCTCTCTCTCTCTCTCATTCTCCCGAGAAATCTACGCACTAATTTTTACTAGCGGGCGGGGGTAGTTCGTCGAAGGTCGTCTCCCTTAAAGCTACGGAGGTAAATGCGAAGACGCGAAAATACTGTTTTCGATCCGCGATCCCAGCTGTTCTCGATCTACCCCCTCGATCGATACACGCCCCCTGACCGGACCGCGAGGACCGTTAGTAGGTCGCGAAAACGGAGTCGGGCGAAAAAGTTGGCCGACGATCGATCGGCCGGGTCTGTATCGAGCCGTTAGGGGCTGTCGGGGGGTCGTGCAGGGGCGCGGGGGCGGCTCGAATCGAGGACGAGGCTCGCGGAAGTGGAGGTAGAAGCGGAAGCGGGAGCCCCTCGGCGCCCCGATCCTCTTTCGCTCGTTCGTACAGTACAAAGTGGAGGTACTTCGCTTTCGTGTAAATACAATAATGTACAATCTCTCTCTCTCTCTCTCTCACTCCCCGGATTTTTATCTACCCTCCGATCAAACACGCTCTCCTCCTCGGCTCTATTCGACCCTCTGTTACATCTCGCATTGTTTCCTTGCTCGTTTTGTTTGGAGTTAAACCTTACTGTGACCTCGGCGCGCTCGGCGCCGGATTTAACGGAATCGATCTACGCTCTACGGTGAGTCGGGAGACGATAAACGATCAACAAAATATTTGCTAGCTATACAAGTTAATCGCCGTATCTTCTTCTTCTTCTTTGTCTTCTTACTCGTTAGCAGCAGCGACGCGTTAAGACGTTCTTCGTTGCTCCGGTTCGCCATCTCGTAATCTCCTTGTCTCGTCGTCTCCTCCTTTTTCCAGCTATTATTCGCCTCCTTCGCCGTCTTCTACCCTCTTCTCTTCCGGCACTGCCCTTCCGCCGGTTCCGCGAGCGATTCTCTCCGTCTCGTCTCGATGACCTCGAAAGAAGGCTTTGGGGCACCGGCGGAAGTTGCACAGAGGTCTCCCCTTAGGTGCGCCCCTTGCGCGAGTCCAGCGATCGACGAAGAGGACGCGGCACGCGTTTCCAACGATCTCGCCGAATATCGTAAAACTACTCCATTTCGTTTCGTTAATTCGAGTCGATCGATTCGATCGCTCCGCGATCGCGCGCTCTCTTCGTCGCCGCTGGACGATGCTCGCTCGCTACCGCCTACGCTGCTTCGAGATTGCCGCGGGCGTCCGTCTACCTACGTATCGATCTACTACTGTACACGGATATCTTGGTCGTAACGCTACTCGCGATAACAAATTATATTCGGTACGTATCGCCTACATACTTTGGGGGCTCGCTGTGCGTATGTATCGTTCCCACGCGTGCACTCCCACACGCTGTGCGGTCTACGCTATCATCCTCTTTCGCTCCGTTCGCGACTGTTTCCGTGTGTTTTTTGTGTTCTCGCGTTTCCGTGTTCCCACGTGTTTCCGCGCGTCGCTCGCTACCGGCCGAAAATTTACGATCGGACAGCTTCGGTCGGAAATTTAATCGCCGAATCGGAATAAGCTTGCTCGCGAGAGCAGAATAAACGAGAATCGTGCGGATCGTTCGTCGATACCTTACGTTCGCTTCGTTATAGAAAACAGACTCAACGCTTTATCGACCGCTAGCCTATTAATCGGTTTTTCGATTGCCAATGCTCATCGATCGATAGCCTATTGATCGGCTTTCGGCTACCGACGGTTTTCGTTTCATTACTGTTTCGTTAGTAGAGCTGTATACTAAACCCTCTCCATATCCTTATAAATTATAATCATAATTATTATTATTTATTATTATTTTTAAAGGAATAAGTTCAACACAATGAATAGCGAAAATTTAGCCGATACTATATCCTTATGAATAATAATAATAATAATTATTATTATTTTTAATGGCGTAAGTTCAACACAACGAATAGCGAAAATTTAGCCGGCACTGGGAGCAAATGCGCGCGCGACTAAGCCAGTCCGGTCGATAAAGTGTTCAAAGAGTTGCGCGCAGAATTTTTAAATCCGCATTCCTGCGGCTAGCTTAAAAGTTAAGGATATTTTTAATCGAACGAAAAATAGCCCTTTCGCGTTGAACTCGGACAGACTCGTCGACGTACGAGCGCGGTCGCGTTCGAAAGGCCGCTCGTTGCAACGACGCTGACCTTTCACCCGTTCCCATCGATTCGTCGCAAAGTTTGGACCGGTAGCGTAGGCCGCATCGAAGTTTCTACTCGTGTGTTCCTGCGTCGATGTACACGCGCACGATCGGTGTATTTACGACGCCGTTTATGGCACCCTTGCAGCTCCGTTGTAGCTTACAGAGACGCTGTGACATCGTTTCCGTGTGTACGCGTGTGTGAGAATGTGTGTTGTGCTCCTGTACGACCAGCGTTGCTTGTTCGTCCGCGCGCGCGCGCGCAAGTGTGTGTGTGTGTGTGTAAACACGTGTACGGTGAGGTGTCCGCCGGTGGCTGTAGGTAATCTTTAACCCTTAAACAGGTGCGCACTGACCATATCGAAAGAACGTTGCTTGTTTTGTACATTACTCTAAGGAGATTCTATTCCTCTAGGTATACTTCTTAAATCGTCGTCGTCTTCTCTCTCTCTCTCTCTCGCTCTCTTTTTCTCACTCTCCCTCTCTCTCGCTCTCTCTTTCTCTCTTCCAATTTTCTTTATGTATTATGTGTATATATATATTTATTTGCTCATTTGCTTATTATTTCTTTTTTTTTTTGGCTGTTTTCGTCGTTTATTTGTTCAAGATTAAAAACGTTTCTCGAGTCGAATCGTTGATAAGGCTAATCGCGAGAGGAAGAACTTGGATAAACGTGCACGTTATAGGCGAAACTGTTTACAATAGAACTATATATCCCTCCTCCTTTGTTCAGTCGCTCGGCTCGCTGAGAGGAGGCGCGGGCCCGCCTCGCTCGCTCGCACGCGCGAAATTGACTTGGCGACCGTCTCTTTTATACGTGTACGTAAGAGTCGTAGGGAACGATGGGCTTGGCATCGGTTTCCACGCAAGATATATTCTCTCGTTGAAGGTTTAGCAACTAGGCAATACTAGGAGGCGAAACTTGTCCTCTTAAGGGTTAAAGACAGTGTTCGGGGAGAGACGGGCGACGCGGCGAAGGCGACGCGAGCGCCTCCGGCGCGCCGGTGGTGGGGGAACGGAACACTCGCGAGTCTCGCGAGTCGCGCGCGACCGTCGCGAGGGGGGTTGGAGAACGAAAATGTCGAGGGTCCGAACGAAACGGTCTCCGTGAAAATCAGACGCAACGAAAGGTTCGTCGGCTGCGCCGCGATACAGGCGGGATTAACCGGTTAGCTGTGTTCGACGAGTATACTCGTCGCGCGTAAGAAGCAGCGACCATCGGCTATTTAAATTGTAATTTTAAGGAAAGCAAAAACATATTGCGAAATTTCAAGATGCTCGGAATATTTCGAGGCCGATCCTGCGCGAAGTTAAATAAAATAAAATTAGAAAAGAATCACGGCATCGGTGTTCGACATGCGTACCACTCTCTCTCTCTCTCTCTCTCTCTCTTTCTCTCTCTCTCTCTGCAGCAACAATTTGAATTTTTAACTTGTACAAGTATTCGATTATCCCTGGGTTTTTCGTTTATTACGTGTACGGTATACGTTAACGTCGGCGAACAAGTAAATATCGGTAATAAAATTGTTAATTTCATGAAATAAAACCGTCTGTTCGATCCAATGTTTGAACAGCGGCGCTCGCATCGCGTTCGACGAGTATACTCGTCGTCGCTCGATTCTCGCGCGACAGCTAACCGCTTAAAGAACAGCGATCGGTGATCGGACGTTTCGCCATTTTAGTCGAGAACGACCTACCGGCGCCGCGAATAATTCGACTGCGGATCTTTATGCGAAAGAAGATTGATTAGAAAGTTCAACTTTATTTTCAAGATACGTTAACACCGAAGTAGAGAATATCGCTAGCTAAACTGTAACTAACTTCGTACTTTTTTATCGTTTCGTAGGTTATGTTTATTGCATAAATAGCCGCGGTCTAAGGTGACCACACTGCGAATCCTTTTATGCGAATTTGCGGTGTCGCGTTCGCACGGAGCTTTGTACTCTGCTTTCGTAAACGTTTGCCGGCCGCAGCGAGCGGTCCACGCGGATCGATTCTTAATCAGCCTGCGGATCTTTAACGGCGGTTCACATTGTTTTCGGCGCCGATTTTTCTCGCCCGTGTTCGTCGTTTCGAAACGACGACGATACGCTCGATGAATTTTCGCGACTTTCCGGATTAGAATCGAACGGTTGCTCGCGGTTCGAGTTATCGCGTTTCGTAGACGCAAACCTGGCTGCACAAAGAGCCGCAGTCTAGTAACCATAAACGGCAGGAGAAAATGATGTTCGGGGACGAGCGATCGAGAGTAACCGATCGTGTCGGTGGCGGTCGACGAAGCTGTTTCTTTTATCGTTGACCCCGACACGACTCTTGTTCTTGTTTCGGTTGTAGTAGTAGTTATTGTTGTTGTTGTTGTTGTTGTAGTAGTAGTAGTAGTAGTAGCTGTTGTTTCTGTTGTTGTTCGATGTGATAGTGGTGGTGGTTGTGGTTGTGGTTGTGGTTGTGGTTGTGGTTGTGGTGGTGGTGGTAGTGATGGTGGTGATAGTGATGATGGTATAATTGGTGCTGTTGGTGGCCGACGGGGTGCGGGTGGTCGAGAGTGGCCTTACTTGAGTAGCTGATGGGCTCGCTCGTTGGCCACCTTTATCCTCGTCTCGTTCGATTCGCCCTGCGTGCCAAAAAAACAAACAAACGAAAGATCGTAACCCAAACTCATCGCATATGTTCAGCCGTGTATCGTCGGGATCATGGTTGTCGCCCGGGTGTCCGGTCGCTTCCGAACGCTTCGTCGTCGCGTCGTTCGCACGATTCGCGACTCGCCGCTTCTTCCGGTCCGAGCCGGCTTCTCTCCAGCTTCTCTTAGAAGCGGAAAGTGATTCGCGCAGCTTCCGGCCCATTTCGAACGATTCGTGGATGTTTGCGAGACGTTGCGGGAGATTTGGTGGACCGTGAAGGCCACGGAAGAAGGCCGAGAGAACGCGTACGAGACAGCGAACGACAACGACGACGACGACAGCGACGACGACGATCCTGCGGGGTTTCATCCGACAAATCAGATTCCAACAAGTTAAATGCGACATCCATCGTACGCGTGGAAACACGGACTGCCGATCAAAGCCTCGAGATCGCCTTTTACTTTTTTTTCTTTTTCGCGGCAATCGATCTTGATGCACGGAGAACGCTTTATAGAGGCGATCTTGAAACTGCGTCGACGGTTGTTCGACGTGTACGTAGACACGCGATAGTAGTAATAATAATAATAATAATAATAATAGTAATAATAATAATAACCATAATAATATTAATAATAATAATATTAACGATAATAAAAATAACAACAACGATAACAACGATAATAATAATAATAATAATAACGATAAAAATAGTAATAATCGTGGTGCTACCGTAGAGACCACGTGGACGACACCAACGGCAAAGAAGATGACGCGGTCACAAGGGGGATACAGAACTGAACGACGTGTAGGAGGTTGTTGATTACGCGACGCGAAGTGTAACAACGCTGGTACCATCGACGAAGCGTCTCTTTAAATTATGGTGAAACGAGCTTCTCGAGAAATTGCAAGTGGGATTTTTTTCGCGGATACGAATCGACGATTTTTATCGACGAGAATTGAAATCGGAGGAAAATGCTCTCTCTCTCTCTCTCTCCTTCTTTCTCTCTAAATATCAGACAAGATATCGTAAACCGAAACGGAGAGCGAAAGAGCGAAGAAAGAGTAGCGGATATTGGACGATAAATTTTAAAAGAAATATCTTTTAAAATTTTATCTTATTACATATAATAATATATAATATAATATAATAATATTATATTAATATATAATATTATAATATTAAATCTTTTTAAAACGAAGGGTCGAGAGAAGGCTGATTTCACTGAAAAATCCAGATTTTAATTAAAAAGAGTCGTCGCTTGGTTCCAGCGCGAACGATACGTGTGTAGGTGTTCAGAGGCTTGCGACCAGGATCGACGCGACGATGATCGATTCGTTGTAGCAGAGACAGGTGGTGGATCGAATTTTGGAGGCACACAACAACGAGTTGGGTTGACAAGGGTATGGCGTTTGTGTCCGACCGACGACGAGAAGGCGGAAGAGGGGTTTCTTCGTTATTACTTTTTTTTTCTGTTTTTTTTCCCCTTTTTTTCGTGGCGGTGGTGGTAGTGGTAGTGGTAGTGGTGGTGGTGGTGGTGGTGGTGGTGGTGGTTGGTGGTGGTTGGTGGTGGTGGTGGGCGTGTCAGCGTATCGATATATATATTAATATATAATATATATATATACGTATATATATTACTATATTGGAGCTGGTGTATAATATATATAATTTGACTATTTGGGGCTCGGAGGAGACGGGTACGTGGGCAGAGAGACGCATTTTACTTGAGCAGGGCGTGCGCACGCTGATTCGCCACGGCTATCCTCGTTTCGTTCGACTCGCCCTGCGGATTACCATAGAGTTCGGATTCGGTCAACGCACAGGTGGCACAGAGAACAAAGAATCTTCAAAAGTCGAACGTAAAAATGGCAACAAGTTTCAAACAGAGAGGGATACACGCTTATACGCTACCGTCCATAACCATCCGGACCGTATCTCTCGGACAGCCGACCTTCCGATTCTTTTCTCGGCAAACCGGCACCTCTCGCAGCCGATTTAGAAAATCGTGAGAATCTCTTGTCCGACCGGAGGTCGAATCGTTCCGTCTTCGCGGCGCGACGCCAACGATATCGACGGACGAACAGCGCGAAGGATCGTTCGTCGTTTCGAGAAGCGAGCAATTTCGAGAATGTCGGCGATAGATGCTATATTTTTACGCGCATCGAGCTGCCCGAGAACGATCTTCGAGGTGATCGCGTTCCCGAAACCGCGCACCCCCGATCGACGTTCTTCGAATTGAATTTTTCGGATTCGGAAATCTGCGCGAGAATAATTCCCGATACCACAATTTCTCTCCACGCGCGCTCGATTGTACCGTGTCGCATTGTTCTCTCTCGCTGGGAGATTAAATATTTAAATGAGATTAAATATGCCCCAAAAGCTGCTCGCGCGATCGAGAAACGAGGGGTGTTCTTCCCGAGGTCGTGCGAAGCAACCCCTCGTTTTCTCGATCGCGAGCGACTTTTGGGACACCCGGTGCATCGAACGCTGCCGACAGCAGCGGACAGCGTCGTCGGACGAATCTGCAAATTTCATCGAAATTCGGAATTTCTCGGAAACGGTTCTCGGACAGCGTTACAAAATCGATCGACGAAACGACGCGAGCGTCCGTATATTTTTGGACGGTAGTGTATCCGTATGCAGACACAAGTGTTAAATAAATCGTATATTTATATCGTATTATATATATATATATTAATAGAGAAAGATATAAGTAAAATACGAAAGAGTAGAGAAAAGATAGTAAAACCAAAAGAAATAATTTGGGCGAGAACAAAGCGTGACCGCGACAAAACGGTGCAATTTGCCATTTTTGTTTTCTTTCCTTCCATTTTGTACGTTTATGCTATTATTTTTGCCTCCTCCTCGTTCCATTCTCTCTTTTTCTCGGCCGTGTTTTTCTTCTCGTACGCGTTTTTCTTTTTTTTCTTTTTCTCTTGGAAACGGAATTTTTCTTGCGGTGTATTACACAGGCCGAACACACAGAAGACAGCCCGTGATATAAACAGTGGCAAAAAGAAGAATGACGATTTGTGCGAATGACGAGAAGAGGGAGTAAAAGGGGCGACTATAGTCGTGCGGTGCACGTGCGTACGCATGCCAAAAATCGAGACACGAGACGATCGTCGCTCGTCGCCCGTCGATCCTAGATCTTAGATCCTCGATCGTCAAATCGTCGATCCTAGGTTCTAAATCCGCGATTCTAGGTCCTAGATCCTAGATCCTCGATTCTAGATCCTAGATCCTCGATTCTAGATTCTAGATCCTAGATCCTAGATCCTAGATCCTAGATCCTAGATCTTAGATCCTCGCCGTATTGACAGCAGCCGACGACGATCCAAGGAGATGCCGTTGCCTCCTCGGCTCGAGCCTTCGACGATCGTTTCGCTCTCGGAAATAGAAGTTCCGTGCCAATACAAAAGAATGTGTATACCGTGGAATCGAGACGGCGGAGAACGTGCTCTTTTCGAACAGAGAGCCGCGTCCGGTCTCGTTCCGGGTTCTCCGATCCTGCGCAGTTCGTCGCGGACCTCGTTTATCCCAATCGTTTTCTCGCGTTGCAAGATACAAAACGAAAGACAATACTTCGGATAATGGTTCGTTGTCGGCCAGTCGAACAGTTTCCGATTAGTTTCCAGAGAAATTGCCCTTTCAAGATTACCCGCGAAATAACCGCAACGTCGTGGAATCGTTTCGGGATCGAACGATTCGTTCGAGAGGGCGAACGCGTTACAAGATCGATCGCTGCGATTTCGCAGAATCTTTAACGAAACGTAGCGTAGGATAAAACGAGATCCGTGCGAATGGTTCCTCGACGAAACGGAGGATCGAGAATATTCGGAGTCGTCGGGGGAAGGTTGGGAGGTAAGAAGGTGCTTTTAGAGGTGGAGGAACGCGACGGTCGCGAGGTTGCCCATCGTCGGCGGCCAGAGATCTCTCGCGATCAGACACATTCTACGCGAACGAAGGAAAAGCTGCCGGATCGGGGATTATCATCGTCTCGACACCACGGTTTCCATCTTCGGAACCACCCGCGCGATCCGATCCAGTCAGCTTCTCGTTCGTCCGTTTGGTCAAGGATGAGACGACAGGGTTCGCGCTGGTTGCCGATTCGATTCGACGCGAACCGAAAACACGAGAGGAATGGGAGAAAATGTGCTGCAGGATGCGCGACGTCGATCGCATCGGGACGAGGGAACGCGTTGGCCGAGCTCGATCAAACTTTTCCGCGATATATGCTACCTGTCTCGCATAAATTTGCTCGCTAGCCGATACTTCGCGCCTTCGAGAATTAGGTCGAGCCGCTTCGATGAACATCTTGGAAACTTTTGGAGGCGGCGCGATCGCGCGGAGAAACGAATTCGATGGCGTAAACTCGACTCGCGAAGAGTTCGCTCGTTTAGGCATACGGTAATGTCTCTCCGATCGACGCTCGGATCGAAGTGGCGAGTTCCTCGGATCATTCGAAGCAACTTCTTCCTTTACGAAAATGTTCTCCGAGGCACCGTTAACGAGTTATTAACGAAAAACAGTGCGCCAATAAGTATCGAGTACGGCCGACGCGAGGTGGCCCAGCCAACCGGCGCGCGAAGCCCGGCTCCGCTCATTGGCTCGGTCGCCTCGCGCCAGCCGAGCTCGCCTCTCACTGGTCACTGCTTTTTCGTTGATAACTCGTTAACGGTGCCTCGAAGAAAATTTTCGTAAAGGAAAAAGTTGCTTCGAATGACCCGAGGAACCCGCCGCTCTCGGATTGCGAGACAAGACTCGAAAAATCGTGTCTCCTCTTCCGAAATTGTCCATTTTTCTGCGCAACCTGAGCGTCGGTTAGGAAGACATTACTGTATTAGGCCAAAAATTAACGAGATTCGAGTTAAATTCTTTAAAAACAAAAAATAGAAATTTCGATACCAAAGAGATCAACGCGTACGTCGCAGAAAAGTTTCATCGTCGTCCGGCGATATCGCGGGCCCGAAACCAGCGAAAGTTTTACGGGATTGAGGAGTCGGATGCGTGACACGGTCGATCGGAATGGGATGAAATCGAATCGAATGGTGGATGATGGATGACGGATGATGAATCGTGAATGGAGGACGGTGGAAAGGGGGTGGGGGGTAGAAAGCGAAAGCGACGACGAAACGTGTGTTGTGCATCGCTCTGAGCGCGTGCATCGTGAATCGTGAGAGAGAAAAAGTCCACGCATGCTCCGTGGAAGAGAACAAAATATTATAGCGGAGCTAAATCGTAGATCGTACGTGGTCGGATCGTGACGACGAGCATCGGACACTCCGTCGTTTTCACGATTCGCGGCGATCCTGTCGTTTCGGAGCTTGCTATGCCCCCGCAATTGTCTCCCTCTCTCCTCCGAAGTCGAATTTAATTGGAAGAAGAATTTCATCGAAATCGATTGAGAAAACAATTGAGAAAACATAATTGTTTTCATTCTTTTATCGTGCCAATAAATTGCAATTTTTGAAGATAATTTTTTAGCCCCGAAAAATGGTACAGTTCGCTCGGCCTAAAATATAATTATAATTTTATAATTTATATATTTATAATATATAATATATAAAATATATAATTTTATAATTTATAATTGAATTACAATTTTATGAAAAAGTTATTTCGTCTTGAAAGTTGTGCGAAGAACGCTTGTTTCGCCCACCGTAGACGGATTCGACGGAGAGACGGACGGACAGAGAGACCGAGCAAGCTCCGAAGGTCCGCGCGGCAACTGCTCGCCGAGGACCGAACACGACCAGGAGATCGGCGGCGAGCGCGTCGCGTCGCGTCGCTCCTCGAGGACGCCGTTTCCTCACCTTGCGATTGATCCTGTCGATCTGCCGGTTCTGATTCTCCAGCTCGCTGCCCATATCGATCGCCATGTTCCTCAGATTACCGATCATCGTGTTCACCTGACCCATGTTCTCCTCCATCTCCGACTCACGGGCGTCGTTCGTGATCTTGCCGATATAGCCACTCTGAGGACCTAATCCGTTCCGATCATCCATCACCCGCTGGGGCTGGTTGTTGACCACCTTGCCGTCGTCGTTCCCCTTCCATGTGCCCTCGTCCTCCTTGAAACTGGCGCTCCTGCAAGGCCGGACAATCGATTAGCGCGCCCCCAACGACCGCCGACAAAGACCGTCCTCCTAACGAATCCTCCAAAAAGTAGGTTATTTTCAGCAATTTATTACCGAGAATTTATTACCGGCTCGATGATTCTCTACGACGAATTTATTAATTTGTATATTTGTATATTTGTATATTTGTATATTTGCTCGACGATGCTCGTTTTAAGCAGAGGTGATCGATTTGTTCTCTTCATTTTGAACATTTCGAAGCCTACGCAGGCTTCGAAATGTTCAACTCGGAAAGTACAGTCCTCCCGCGACGAGAAGCTCCTTCGCGCGTTTACGTTCCCCCTCCTACTAGCTGCGGCAGTGGGGCAGAGCTAGTGAAAGAGGTGACGTGACGCGAAGTCGCGCGACGACTCTACCTTACCGATAACTTAGCGCCGCGGTAACGTTGGTAACATCGATCGGTAAGAGATCGCGACCACGAATGATTCTGCAAACGATGTTACGCGCGCCGGTTACGCGATTCGCTTGATTCGGCGGGATTCGTTCGTGGGATTACTTTTTGGGTGATTCGATTCGAAAGGGTAATCCTAACCCTGCTGCCATCTTCGTCGAATAATTGCAGGTTTCGTTCCTTCGACGCTGCACACGTAGCGTTGTTCTCTTGCGAACGATTTTTTTTTTAATTGTACAGTTCGATCGAGGGCAGCAAGTTTAAGAAATTCATTGAATACAGTTGATCGACAGAATTTTAGAGAAGTTCGACATTCATCGGCTCGTTATCAATGGTTAATCTCGAAGACGTTTCTTCGTATCGAGGCTCGTTTCGCGGGTAGAACTATCGAAGAACGCTGCAATTTCGCTAAAATATCCCAACAAGAATCTTCCAAAGTGGAATTCGTAAAATTAACCTATTCGTAATATTAATAAACCGATGCATTTCTATTGCAACGAAAAGAGGACCGACGCCTCGTTTCAACAATTAGTTCCCTGCATTACCAGCAAATTAAATATCAGCGATTACGGCGCCGATATCGAGATCGATATCCACTATCCACGAAACGAGGCAGACCATGGTAAGATTATGGTCGGAACGGAGAGCCAATCCCAATAAGCAGAGGTCTCCAGGGGTGACGATCGCTTTTCGACGAGATTCGGTACAGCGATAGAGCTTGCAAAGCCGAGTCCAACGATACCTGGTTTTGGGGGCAGGCGACGTATAGATTCTGAGATATTCAATGTCCAAGTTGTCGACGAAAGAGTAGAAAGACGCGCTGGATCGCGGCGCACGGCACCGTGCGCCAGATGGTGGGGGGAGCGCGCCGCCGCGCGACGTTCAGGTAGGCCGGCTCGCCCCCCACCACCTCTTGCCGCACGGTGCCCAGCGTCGTAGTCCAGCGCGTCTTTCGGATCTTTTATCGACAACTAGAACGTTAAATATCTCGAAAACTATAAGCCGCCTGCCCCTAAAACCGGGTATCGTTGGACTCGGCTCTGCAAGCTCTGTCTCCGTACCGAATCTCGTCGAAAAGCAAGCGTCATCCTGGGAACCTCTCCTCGGAAGAAGAGCATCGTTCCGCGGTGCCTCGAGGCCTCGAGTTAACGAGCGGTAACGAGCCGTGAAAGCGAAATTTGTCCGCGGACAAACGGTGAGCGGGGCGTGGCGAGGCGGCAGAGGTTAGGCGCGAGTGGGGGAGCGACGTAAAGGAGCGGAACGGAGCGGAAGGGGACGAAACGGGAGGTTCGAGAAAAGCGTTCCGGGACAGCCCTACTTGTTGCATGGAAGAACGCAGAGACCGCAGCACTTTTCCATTCCGGTGAGATTTTTCTCGGCCTCGCGCATGTCGGTGTTGATCTGGTCCATGCCCTCCTCGATTCTGTCCAGTTGCTCTGTTTCATCGTACGAGAACACATCGTTAGCAAGTCGCTTCGTCGTGCGCAGCTCTCGCTGGCGAACGCTGCTCGAAAGGGAACGGACAGCGCGAAACCAAAAAAAAAAAAAAAAACGAAACGTGGGAACGAAAAAACTAAAGCGATCAACGGAAACCGGGAAACTTGTACTGCTCTTCTACTACGCACACGTGTCGTACTCCAAACTAGTTAAATAATAATCGTACTGAAAACGTAACGGAACCACAACAGGAAATCAGAAACCGTCCGGTTCCCTTTCGAGAGATATCAACCTTGTTAAAAAAATGTCTGGATCGTTTGCTATCGGATCACGGAACGGAGAGCGTTCGTTCGACTCTCAACGTTTTTCCCGTTTCGGGCACTTTTTAACGATGTTCGATGCTCGTCGAGGCCCCGATTCCGTGATCTTCCAGCGACGACCAGAAAAATACTAAACTGCGCCGAGAACCGTCGAGAGCGTCGCAAACTGTTCTCCATTCGTTTTCGAGGCTCGCCGGAGTCCTCGTTCTCTTTTCAGATTCCGCAGCGAATATTTCGAGTATTCTTCCAGGTAAGAATTATGGTCGAACAATGACGCCATTATAGAAAGTTTCGATTAGTTTTAGCTTCGACGATGTCCGATCGAAATCTTTGATAGGGGAAAGATCGTGGATTCTTGAATCTTGTCTAAACTTTTACTGTTCGATCGAAATTGATAATCGATAATTTAAACAGCGACAGAGTGGTTGGCGCAGCGACGCGGAAAGATTTGAAGAACTATTTCTGGTTAAAGTTTGCGAAAGCGAGCGGTCTCGACGAATCCCGGCGAACGAAAGAAACAAGAACGAGTGCAACGGGAGTGCAACAGCTAAGCAAATAATAGTCTCCCTGCTAAGGGCGTTAAACCTAAGAATCGGGTGAGTAGCTCTGTATGTACGGGGGTGTATACGGTTTAGGTAAATAATCTAAGGGTAGCTGGGTATTATTACGAGTCGAACTAAGTATGCTTCGACGAGTATACATATAAGTATAGCGCGTCCGATGCGAGATTAATCCGATGTTCTCGACAGGTGGGTATATGTATATATATATATATAAAACACAGTATAAAAGTATAAAGTTGCAAGTAGTATATATAGATGTGTGTATATATATATATATGTATGTGTATATAATATACGTTATAACATATGGGTGGTATATATACATACATATATATATATATATATATGTTTGAGACTTACACCGTGCCGGAAGTGACGGAGAGAGGCGTATAAAACGTGGTGCGAGTGTCGTGGGTAAACCGACACGTCTGTATTTTACCCATTCTTTTCGTTTCTGTATTCTGTATTTGGTTAGTATTTCTCTATTCTCTGTATTTCCTACGGGTTCCTCATTTCTCCTGTATATATATATATACCTGTTTTCTTTTTTCCTAATCCGCCCGTTTCCCCCTTTTTTTCGCCTGTTCACTGTACTTGTCTACGTATTTGTTTCTTTGTAATTACTTCGCCTGTATATATATATATATAATTCATGGTTGTTCTCATATCTGTTCTTTCTGTTTTTGTTCGTTCGCCTTCGTGAGATCACGTAGTAACACGGACGGAAGAAAACGGAATCAGAAAGAGGAGGAGAGAGCAGGCGGAGAGACGACGACAGGATGCAGAAGAGAAGAGAAGAGAGGAGACGAGGAGAGAGAAGAAGAGAGAGAAGAGCAGAGAAGAGGAGAGAAAAGAATAGCGAAGAGAAGAGAGAGAGAGAGAGAGAGAGAGAGAGAGAGAGCAGAGACGAAGAGAGGAGAAGAAAAAGAGTAGAAAAGAGAGTAGAAAAGAGTAGAAAAGAGTAGCAAAGAAATCGAAAAGAGTAGCAAGAAATAGAAGAAAGGTAGAAAAGAACAGAGAGATAGAGTCAGAGACAGAGATAGAAATAGAGAAGAAAGAGACGAGCAGAGAAGAGAAGTGCTTAGAGAGACAGAGAGGCAGTGGCAGAGAGAAAGAAAAAGAGAGAGAGAGAGAGAGAGAAAAGTGAGCAGAGCGAGAGAATTCATCGATGACGGGACGGTTAGTGGGGACAGGTCGGAGAAGAGTTAGGCGAGAGAAAGTAGAATCGATGATCTGAACGGCGTGGGTGGTGAGCAAGATGTTCCCGGAGACGAATAGCTAAGGTGCGAGTTTCCTTGAATAGAGTTTAGTAGTGACCGGGGTAAGAAGGTCTGAAATAAAGAGTCCGATGGAAGAGGGGTCTGCAGAGTGTCTGAACGAAAGTAGACGCAATTAGAGTGTCGTGTGCACGCATAAACGGTACTCGGGCGCGCGCGCGGCGGTGCGAAAAGCCGACGCGCGATCGCATCCGGGTACCGCTTATGATCGTTCACGGTGGATATGGTATATAGAATACATGAGAGAGTACACAGAATTTCGTCGGTCGCGTTGCTCTTTGTGTCGGTCGAAACCGGATACGCGCGCGCGCGCGCGCGCGCACACGGCCGATCGGTACGATTTCAGAAAACGACGTGAAACCCGTCCCGACGCGCCGTTTGCGCGTGCACGGATACGCGCGCAGAGAAAAGTTTAAGTAATGTTTGTATGTCTAGATTTATGATGGCTTACCGCCTTGCTCGTCCAGCATTACGAGGCTTTTCATCCCGACCTCGTGGCTCTAAACAGGCAACCGACCAATCAGCGGCTGTGTTAACACACGTGACCAACAGGACGCGCCGTCGCAACGCCCCTCCCTTCGCTCCGCGAGCGTTATCGTTTTTCTCTTTGATCCTTCTCTCGCGATCCCCGTTTCCTATCTTCGCTATCTCCTTCTCCGATACAACCGTACGTGGCAGCCATTTGTTCGACCCTACCCGCTCCCCGAAAGTTACGGAAACCGGCGTCGATTCGCGCGGATTCCAATCGAAGAGACGAAAACGGGAGAGCAAAGGAGGAATCGTTGGCTTCCGAGGAGCGCGCGTGGGTCGAACGCGCCAATCCCGCTGCGAGAAATCATGAGCCGGCTTTGGAGCGGGCGTGGCCTACCGCCGAGTGGGCGTAGGCGTGGGCGTGGCCCACTCGAGTAGGCTCGAGCAACGTCGAGGAGACGTCTGCTACGACGCGAGCGGATGCGAATTTTCCCGGATAGGAAGGATCTAAACTGAACAAGCCTCGGCTATCTCGACTGGGCGTGCTTTTACTGCTCTAGATTTCAAAAAGGAGCACCTAAGCTTGTTCTAGACAAAGAGTGGGCGAGGGAGAGAGTGAAAGAAAGAAAGNGAAAAAGAGAGAGAGAGAGAGAGAGAAAAGTGAGCAGAGCGAGAGAATTCATCGATGACGGGACGGTTAGTGGGGACAGGTCGGAGAAGAGTTAGGCGAGAGAAAGTAGAATCGATGATCTGAACGGCGTGGGTGGTGAGCAAGATGTTCCCGGAGACGAATAGCTAAGGTGCGAGTTTCCTTGAATAGAGTTTAGTAGTGACCGGGGTAAGAAGGTCTGAAATAAAGAGTCCGATGGAAGAGGGGTCTGCAGAGTGTCTGAACGAAAGTAGACGCAATTAGAGTGTCGTGTGCACGCATAAACGGTACTCGGGCGCGCGCGCGGCGGTGCGAAAAGCCGACGCGCGATCGCATCCGGGTACCGCTTATGATCGTTCACGGTGGATATGGTATATAGAATACATGAGAGAGTACACAGAATTTCGTCGGTCGCGTTGCTCTTTGTGTCGGTCGAAACCGGATACGCGCGCGCGCGCGCGCGCGCACACGGCCGATCGGTACGATTTCAGAAAACGACGTGAAACCCGTCCCGACGCGCCGTTTGCGCGTGCACGGATACGCGCGCAGAGAAAAGTTTAAGTAATGTTTGTATGTCTAGATTTATGATGGCTTACCGCCTTGCTCGTCCAGCATTACGAGGCTTTTCATCCCGACCTCGTGGCTCTAAACAGGCAACCGACCAATCAGCGGCTGTGTTAACACACGTGACCAACAGGACGCGCCGTCGCAACGCCCCTCCCTTCGCTCCGCGAGCGTTATCGTTTTTCTCTTTGATCCTTCTCTCGCGATCCCCGTTTCCTATCTTCGCTATCTCCTTCTCCGATACAACCGTACGTGGCAGCCATTTGTTCGACCCTACCCGCTCCCCGAAAGTTACGGAAACCGGCGTCGATTCGCGCGGATTCCAATCGAAGAGACGAAAACGGGAGAGCAAAGGAGGAATCGTTGGCTTCCGAGGAGCGCGCGTGGGTCGAACGCGCCAATCCCGCTGCGAGAAATCATGAGCCGGCTTTGGAGCGGGCGTGGCCTACCGCCGAGTGGGCGTAGGCGTGGGCGTGGCCCACTCGAGTAGGCTCGAGCAACGTCGAGGAGACGTCTGCTACGACGCGAGCGGATGCGAATTTTCCCGGATAGGAAGGATCTAAACTGAACAAGCCTCGGCTATCTCGACTGGGCGTGCTTTTACTGCTCTAGATTTCAAAAAGGAGCACCTAAGCTTGTTCTAGACAAAGAGTGGGCGAGGGAGAGAGTGAAAGAAAGAAAGAGAGAGAGAGAGAGAGAGAGAGAAAGAGGGGGAGTGAGAAAGTGAAGGAGGAAAGAATAGCGCAAGCAACAGCTAAAAGGATTGCGTTGCTAGAAAATTGATCGATCGTAATCGACTATCATTGTTCGCGGCCCTTTCCTTTTTCGACGTTTCGCACGGCTACGAAGCTCGCGATATCCCCAATTTATCTGCACCTTTGCCCTTTCGATGATATTCGATCTTTCGATCCGAGGAGAATAATGAACCGCGCGTCGGAGGAGCGAGAGGGCGCGTAACGACGACGATCTCATCCTGATTCATTAATTCTATGCGGGGGTCAGGTTAGGCTCTGCTGGAGGACCAGGATCTTTGTACTTGCAAGCGGCGAATTCAGACGCGGACACGGAAAACCACGGGGAAAGTTGGATCTACCAACCGCGAGAACAATCTCCCGGGAAATCTCGAGTCCTCGAGATCTTGGCCGACGAATCGAC